AACAAGAACTTTGCAAAATAGATATATTGTTGGAGTTTCATGGGCAGGGAAGGGAGTTTTTTTGAATAGCTTGAGACAATGAAAGGTCACAGAAACAGAGTCAAAGGACAGTTTTTCTTTGAAGAATGGAAAAAAAACAGGCTTACTTTAAAGAAAGTAATGGAGTGACAGTCTTCTAGAAAGGCGGACATTTTGCCATGTATCTCCAGGGAATTAACATACAATCTTGTAAAGCATATTTAAAATATTTCTGCATTACAAAAGCATGTTTGTCCCAGCCTGATTGCTTTCAGTAAACTTTCTCTCAGGATTTCTGAGACCAGGTTCCTCACACAAGTCTTCAAAGGGGAAATCAGCTCCAGGTCTGGGGCAATCTGAACAGTCCAGTCAGCAGGACCCAATTTAACTTTTAATTTTTTTCCTGGCCAAACAGGGATTCATGCTTGCAAAGGGACTCTCTGGTTGATTGTAAAAACATTTTTAAAAGATATTTAAAGCAGAATAGAGAACAAATATTCAGAAGCTCACTTGTTTAAGCTGTGAAATTACTTTTTTTTTACTTTGTGGCTTGGGATGGTCTTAGCAGAGGTTTGGTGCCTATATCTTGTTATAGTTTCAACCATTTCACCCATCTTCTCACTACAAAATCGTTTGGGATTTTTAAAAAAATCCTCCAAAGATGTTATGTGCCATCAAGTCACTTCTCATGTGTGGTGATTAGAGATGGGCATGAACCACCAGTTCAGTGGTTTGTGCCAGTTTGTCCAATGGCTGAACAGATGCTCATCACCCTGTTCCCTCCACTGGGCACCCATGCAGAGGCACATTATGGATGATTTCTGACCTTCGATTCTAGTGGCAATCTTTGCCAACTATAACAGCCCTGACAGTTGCTTTGTGTTTGGGTGAGAAGCAGTTAATGATTTTAAAAAGCAGTCAGCTTCTAGGATTTTTCCCTTGCTTCGTGTCTCTTTGTGGTGTCTCTGCACCCATTCCTAGAGAGATTTGATTTGGCTATGGTGACACATGCCTTAGTAACATCTCGGCTGAATTACTACTATAATGCATTCCACATGGAGCAAAATTCCCCAGCTGCCATGCCCACTAGCTATGCTGGCTGGAGGATTTCGGGAGTTGTCTTCTGGAACAGAAACTTCTTCAAATTCTTGATAGTACTTGCAGACTCAAGAGAGAGCAATAAACAAAGGGCAGCAAGAAGAATGAGGGAGAAGAGGAAGAGGCAATCCCAGGGTTGGCTGTGAAACACAGAATCATAAGAATTATTGAGTTGGAAGGGCCTTATAAGGCCATCAGGTCCAACTCCTTGCTCAGTGCAGAGATCCGAATCAAAGCAGATCTGAAATAAGATGCAGCAGGCACTCACTGATGCCCATCTCTGATGCCAGACCTGCTTATAATACAAATTATAAAGCAGCAGTGATACCACTTCCTCTCCCATCAAGCCCATAAACCACACTGGCAGAAAAATAAGCGAAAGTTAAATTTCCACCCAGAAGGCGTGCTTTCAGCTGATTATTTAGTGAGGAGTCTCGAATATTTATCTTCTTAATGAGGCCTCCTCTTCTGCATTGCAATAATTAGGTTCAAATGTTAATTGTGAATAGGTGTGCTGCTGTAAAAGACTACTTGCTCTCAAACGGGATCACATCTACATTTTCTTCCCTCTCCCCCAGAGAATTATTGGCTGCTTTGAGTGAATCACATTATTACAGGCCATAAAACAGCATCAGCAAGCAGGGCCTCGCATTTACGCAGTCCGAGTCTATGCTTCAATTCTTGTTGCTTTCCATAAATTATGAGACTTGTATGTGTCTTCTGGGGGAAAAAATGAAAAATTGAGAGCAAACCAGAACTGAAGAGAACTCAGAGCACACAAAATGTCATGGATTGTGTTATTCCTGTTTGAATGTTAATTGCTAATAGGTGTGTGTGTGAAGGTGGTCACAACTTCCATGCTGGAGGTGACTGGGAAGATACCAACATGGAGCACCTGCCAATATGAAACCAGAGTGGCTACAGTAGAAGGTGGAGTTACTTTTTCATCTGCATTTATCCCGGTTCTTTTTTCGTTCTTCCACAGATAACAATGGATGAACACTAATTACACAAACTTCAGGGCTGACCTATATTAATGGTTTCTTGTGGGAAGCATGTTGGGAAAGTAAAGGTGGCAGGATCCTGTACATTCACAGACATGTCTCTGGAACAACCCCATTCTGGCCTACACGTTTGGTAGGATGACAACAGGGGCAGAACCTTCTGCAACCATGCTGGAGAAGAGGTGGGAGATTTGTGACAGAGGACATTCTGTTCTACAAAGGAGCCTCCCTTTCCACAGGTGGAGTACCCATTTTGAAAGCCACAGGCTTGAGTTTGCAAGAGCTGACCAGGGCTGTTGAGGACCTTTTGGAGATGACTCACTCATAGGGTCACTATATGTTCCTTAATGGTGCTGCAGCAATGCTCCTAACATGGGCTTATATTCTGGCACAACCCTTTTAAACTCTGCCTAGGATTTACCTTCTCCACCAAACAGTGCTATTAATATAAAACTGTAAATTACAGTGGGGTCTCGACTTACGAGCGGTTATGCATATGAACTTTTCGACTTACGAACCAGCCCAATAGGAAATTACATACTCAACATACGAACTCCCCTCGAGTTACGAACAGGAAAAAAGTGCCCCTCCCTCCCCTTAGAGGCTTCTGGAGAGGAAAAAAAGGTCAGAAACTTAAAAATAAATAAAAGAAAGTCATTTACCAGGCCTTGGTAGCCTCCGAACTGCAGGAAAAAGAGCAGCAAAGAGATAAAAGCCGACACCCAGAAGGGAGCCTGGCAGCCATTTTGTGCTTTTCTCTGCTCCTGCCCCCTCCTCTTCCCGCCTGACAGCTGATCGGCTGGCTCTGAAGAGGCTTGGGGAAGCTTGCTCAGCACCAAAAAAGCCCGCCTGTGTGTCTTTGTGCTGAAAAAATCAGCACAAAATGCT